GTCCACTAGTTGTTGTATGTCCAGTAACTGGGGGGAAGTTATTGCAGAGATAAAATTTGCATTGCAACCATCTTTAATATTCACTGATGTATACACTTTTAAAATTATTTGCCTACTTCTGAAAAATTAAGAAATGGTCAGCAAAATGGATTCTATGTGCCTTTTTGACCACTGAAAGACTGATATTGCAATATTGGAGGGATAAACACTCAACTCTTATGACATAAAGGACCGCAGACCTTACAATGTTTCTGGTATTTGAACTGGTGGCATACTGTCACCACCCTCAAATGGATGCTTATTTGGATATTTTATCTACTTTTGTTGAAGCCTAATTGCCAGAGAATTATATATATTTCTTATACATAAATTTACATATAATAAAATGGACAAAACAGAGATGAGGTGTTTTTTAAACAGAAGCGGTTCATGGGCCCCAAGTAGGGGACCCCTTTGCCAGCACCACTGCAGATGCGCATGGGCACTGTGTGGGGGATCTCTGCTATTACTTGTTTGCCCCAGGCTTAGGGCAATTAGGATATAAAAAAGGCATCGAAGCATGTGCTGTGTCTTCAGCTATGGACAGTTTTTTTAGGTAATCTCAGCCCTTGCTATGACAACCAGTGACATGGGATACTCAAGCTTTGGGCATAAAGAGCAATTGAAAGATGTTTATTCAGAAGAGCGTTCCATTAAATTAAATGTGACTTGCTCCCAAAGAAGGTATGAAGGATTACAATCTTAAGTCTCTCTCTCTTAGCTATTTCAGGGAAGAAGATGGCAGAATTTAAACAAAGCCAAGCTGTCTGTGTTCTAAGGCAGAGTTTGGCCCTTGACACCAGAAGCAGGTTCTGGGAATCTGATCTCTTATAGTTTTTTAAGCTTTCACCAGCATGACAGTTCAGGTATTTGAGAGTACCCAACATTTCTTACATTGTTTGGATTAGTCAAAATGAACTAAACTTGTTAAAGACTTGGAAAAAATAAATCCCCAAGGCACTGTACATCATAATGGAGCAAGATCATTTATGACAAATTTTAACCCATAACATTTCCAAGAAGACACTTTTTGACATACCACCTGCATGATGCTGGAAATAAAAATCGAAGGCTAGATCCCAACAAAGGAGTAGGACAAATTCTTTAGATAGAGAAGGTCACTTCTGAGGAGTTTTGGTCACCTAAAATATTCACAATATAGTTGGTAATACAAAGTTTGGAATTACAAAGGTGTGACTATAATAGATTTGTGACTGCTAAAAATTAAGCTTATTATAATGCAGTATGAATATGTAGCAGACCTGTTTTCAGGATTTCCTGTGACTTCATCTGCTCAGAGAGGCAATTCTGAGCTACCCTTTTGCTGATTCTCTTTAGTTTACTTGAGATTTCATATCCTATATTGGGCTTTGTTGCATACCGATACAAGTGACATCTGCCAGATACAAAGAGTTGGAGAATTTTACTACTTATTTTTCTCCCTAGGGAAAAGTGTTTGCTTCTCACACAGCCATTTCTTAAACAATTATAAACCCAAAGAGCCTTTTTGAGAAAGACTGCCCATATGTTCTGAAAATTTCAGTAAAAGATAGGGTGTCCACCAAGTTTGTCCACATTGTAGCAACAAAAATATGTTCAGAACAGAGTATGACCCAATAATTTGCTGATAATTCACTTTGTTGCCAAATGTCTTAGGCCTTCTTCTTCATCAGCACAAAGTGAGACCAATGACATGGAGGCCAATAACTTATATTAGTGGGGCTCCTTGTCCACTGCAGCACTTACTTGGAGCTGTATAAATGCTATCCATAGTTCTGAAGACCATTTCCAAACTAGGTTCATCAGCATGGAAGACCATGCAACTTCATGTAAAGCTCAAAATAAGGAGCCAAACTGACAGGAATTACCACCTTCCTCTGCCAATGACTGACAGAAGGTGGCAGCTCTCAGGCTTTGGTAGAGGAGGACAGTAACTCTGTGGTAGCAGAACACATGCTTGGCATGCAAAAGGTCCCAGGCAGAGCTGGCTGAGAACCCTGTCTAAACTTCAGACAGCCACTTCCTGTCAGCAGGCCCAGACTTTCCTTGCTTGAGATTTCAAGATGATACTGGGCTACAGCACATTAAATGGGAGGGGATGATGCGAAGGGGCCCACTTTTGGCACAGAGTACTAATCAATCCTTTCAGATTTAAATTTGGGACAGTGAACTGAAAGAGGATGACTAGATTTCTGAGAGACTTAGACTCCAGTGTTACAACAGGTGAAACAGGTGGTGCTTTCAAAGAACAACTTTATTCACTTTGCACAAGAGTTTTGGTTGATATAGCTTGAGGACACAGGCAAAGTGATGGACAAGTTGGTACACCCCCTTTGGTACTGAATCCTTGCCCCTCTTGGTTTATAGAAAGTAGCAGTAGAGAGAACTGGCTCAGCCAGGAAAGTGATTAATGCCTCTTTGTAAGAGGGAGTGTTCCTCCTTGCTGTTTGAAAGCAGCAGCAATAAAAGCACTCAAGAAGAAATCCTCTCTGGGCCCAGAAAATATTAACCAATTTAGGCCAGTGGCAATATTCCTTTTTGTGGCAAGTTCCTTGAGTGAGTGGTGCCCGCCCATCTCCAGGAACTCTTTGATCAGAATTATGTGGCTCCATTTCAGCTGGAGTTTATGCCAGGTTTCTATATGGAAACAGCTTTGAACCCTGTACGATGGCCTATGTCAAGAGAGATAGATGAGCAGTGTGTTCTGTTCATAGCCTCTCCATGGCTTTTGATGCCATCAACCATGAGATCCTTCTGGGACAATTGTCTGAACTGCACTGCAGTGGTTCTACTGGATTGGATGACCAACTCCAGAAGGTGATGCTTGGGAGACTGTTGCCTAGGATTTTCTAGCATGGGGATCCCAGGGTGGCAGTTTTGTCCTCCAAGCTATTCAGCATTTACATTAAATTGCTCAATGGGTTCATCTGGAATTTTGGAGTGCATTGCCATCAATATGCTGATGACACACAGTTCTATTTCTCCTTTTCATCTCCATTAGATAAAGATGTGGATGTGCAAATCATTGCTTGCTCCAAGAATGCACCGGATGAGGGCTAATAGCCTGGTACTGAGTCCAGATGAGACTGAAATGCTGTTAGGGGGTGGTTATTCTGATCAAATGTAGGGTGCTCATGCCATTCTGGATGAGGTTGCCCTCCCTTTGAAAGACGGTTCATTGTTCAGGGGTCCTCCTTAATCCATGTTTGTTGTCTGAACCTCAGCTGGTCTTAATGGCAGGGAGTGCCTTCTACCAGCATTGGCCCAGCTATCCCTCTGTCTGGCCAAGAAAATCCTGGTTTCAATAATCTATGTGCTGGCAACATCCAAGTTGTTGTTGTTGTTAGTTGCAAAGTCGTGTCCGACCCATTGTGACCCCATGGACAGCATTCCTCCAGGCCTTCCTGTCCTCCACCATCCCCCGGAGTCCACCTAAGCTCACACCAACTGCTTCAGTGACTCCATCCAGCCACCTCATTCTCTGCCATCCCCCTCTTCTTTTGCCATCTATTATTCCCAGCATTAGGCTCTTCTCCAGGGAGTCCTTCCTTCTCATTCAAGTTAGATCACTGCAATGTATTCTAGGTGGATCTGCCCCTGTTCATAAGCTGCAGCTTGTGCAAAATGCAGCAGCCAGAGTAATAACTTGGGCTAGAAGTTCTGAAGTTGTGGCCCACTTGCACTGGTTGCTTTATGCTCCCAAGCTCAATTCAAAGTGTTGGTTTTGGCACCTGATGAAATGTCTAGCATGAATCAATAGAATCTGCATCTGAGACTTTCCTCGAAGTTTCCTTTGAAGAGGGTAGCAACAAAGAAGAGGGCCTTTCCAGCAGTTTCCCGGATCATGGAATCATATCCCCACTGAGGCCTGTTTGCTGCCAACTATCAACTTTTTGGTGCCAGGTAAAATGACCGTGCTCTTTTCCCAGGCTTTTCATGACATTTCACTAGGAGCCAGTGTGGTGTAGTTGTTGAGAGTGTGGGAGAGGGACTCAGGAGATCTGGGTTCTAGTCCCCACTCAGCCATGGAACTCACTGGGTGATTCTGGGCCAGCCCCAGACACTCAGTCCAACCTACCTCACAGGGCTGTTGTGAGGGTAAGATTGACAAGAGGAGGAGAAATACGCCGAGTTCCTTGGAAGGAAAAAAGGTGATATAAATATGATTAATGAATGGGGCATTTATGTTAGCTATTTTAACAGATTTAATTTGTACTAAAATTGATTTAAGCTGTTGTTTCAAATTTTGGATTTTGGAAAAATGCTTTTATTGTTTTTACGATCCTTGTTTTTTATGAGTTGCTGTTAACAGCTAAGAGAGCTTCAGCTACTGGGGAGCACAGAGGTGAATGAAAGAAGCTGTCATTCCTGTTTGCTCTTAAAATGCACAGGACTCTCCCTAGAAGCAATATTTGGAAAGTCCGGTTTCGATATTAAATCCCTTTGTCTGCATCCTGCATGGTCTCAAAAAGGAAACGTGTGCACAACGCGGCGCGTGTGTCCCCTGGAGATGTAAGAAACGCCGCCCGAGCCCCGACAGAGCCCACGCCAGCCCGCCCGTTTCTTCAGCCCAGGCGCTGCTACCGAGCCTCGTCCTGGCGAAGACCGCCCAGTTCCTTAAGCTCGACAGCTCCCTCTCTAAAGGCAAGAGGAGAGAGACGCCGCTACGGCGACGCGTCCGGGCGCAAAAGAGGCCCCACGCCCACCACGAGGCCAGCCCAGGCCGACATCGTCGCGGGCAGCGCCGCTGCCGCATGCACAAGAAAACAGCGCGCTCGGCTGCGCACAAGCCTCCCGCGGGCGGCAATTGCGGCCGCGCTCAGCAGGGGCGCCGCCGCCCGTCCCTCCCTTCGCTCCGCTCCGCTCCGCTCCCGCCCTCGCGTGCTGGGCGCGAGTTCCCGCCTCCTGCTCGCTCTGCGTGCGCGCATATGCCCAGCCTGTGCTCGGGAGGCGAGTCCCTGCCAAGGCGGGACGAAGGACGGTGGTTGCGAGCAGGTGGGCAAGCGAGGCTGGCTGGACGGAGTGAGCCTGCCGAGTTCGGAGACCACCTTGCAACGGAGCGACCCGAGCGACGCCGACTCGGTCTCCCTCCACCATGGGACTGCCTCTGCTGCTGGGGCTGCTGCTCTCCCGAGCCGGTAATGGGGAGGGGGCTCCGGTGTGCATGGCTGCCTGGCTGACCCCTCTTTCCTGGACGGGCTTTGCTTACACGACGGCGCTAACGGTTTTGCAACGGTATTGCGGGCGGCTCTCCGCTGTGAACGGAGTGAATTTGGCGCCCTTGGTGCCCGCCCCAAGTGCCGCCCTGTAACTGCCGCTTGGTGCGGCTCCCGGGAACATGTTGTGTGTCCGGCCGCGGCTTTTGGCTTTGCGAGCTGCGCGCTCCCCTAGCTGAACTAGGCAAAATGTCCTGTGAACTTAGGGATTTTTTTTTATTCTTATTTTTTGCGGGCCTTTGCTTTTCCCGACTGGAGCGTGGAAAGAGTCTGTAGTCCAGTCCACAGCCGTCCTTGTTTGCCTTTCCCCAAGGCAAGAGGGACTTTTTGGCTGCAAGCTTCTTCGCATCTTGCAAGGGGATGACTTTCACTGGGAGCATGCTTAGGATCGGGCTGCCAAGTCTTCCCCTATCTGTGGGGCGGTGATTGTAGGAGTCGTCCCTATCAATTTTCCAGAGTGCGCTTGGTGTCTCAGATCTGCAGGCGGCGACGCGAAAGACTGTCTGATCTTTTTCTCTTTTGCTAGTCACTTTGGGTGTGTTCCGGCCTGGTGGCTTTTTTGATGGGCGCTGTAGAGGAAGGGAAAGGGAAATACGGGACGCACAGAGAAATACGCGAGCGGACAGTGCACCCCCCCCCCCCCGGTGGCTTGTTAACGGAAGTGGAAAGTGGTTGCAACTCGAGGGCTGTTGTTACGTGTCGTCTCCATCTGTGGCGACCCTATGAAAAAAACTCCTCTAAAATGGACTGTTCATGACAGTTCCATTCTGGTCTTCCAAGTTCAAGGCTGTGGCTTCCCTTATGGGTTCTGCCCATCTCATTTTTGGTACCGAGGTTTAGGTCTAAAGAACTGGTATTAGCAGATTTCGGTTCCAAGTGGCAGGCAGTGATCTTCCAACAGCTAAACTTTCAGCAGGTGCTTGCTGAGTGATTTCCAGGCAAGCAAAAGACACTGATCCACACTCCAGTCAAAGAATTAGTCACTTGTATGTTGTAGATGTAGCTGCAACAGGCAATTTGCTTGTTTCATTAGTAAAATACTTCACAAGAGATGCTAAATTAAATTTTAGTGTCAAATATTCTTCACATGCGGCTTCTATGTTTTCATTTGTTTGTTTTACATCTGCTTGTAATCTGTCCACCATTGACAAACTGTGTATTTGATTTAAAATTGCTTCTTTCCTGTGATTTCACACATGAATGCAGTGCAAGCATCAGAGAGGTAGCTATCTCTATCTTGTTCTGTTTGTGAACTTCTCTAGGGAAATGTGATGGATATCAAGCGGCCCCTTGGTGTGATCTAACATAGGTGGTACTTAAATTGCTCATGCAAATCAGGAAGTGCAAGAGGACCATTTTAAAATTATATGCACATTGTATCTAATATGGCTTTTATAAACCAAGGAAATAGCAAAGATTCTATTATGAATATTATTATGAAATCTTATAACAATGCATTAATATTAAAATAATACACAATATTAATTGCTATTATTGCATTATTAATATAATATAATAAGATTATATACTAACAAAATGCTATCATAAAATGTTATAAAATTCTATTATGAATTATGGATGAAAATATAATAAAGGTGATTTTTGAGTTTTCTCTATGTGTATCACAAATATAAAACATAGATTGGCGAGAATAACTATTTTCAGCTGACTTTTATTTTTGTTTATTTATTATTATTTTTGCATTACCAACATTGACACATGCACAGATGGTATAAAAGGTCAAAGTACTTCAGCAAGTATAAAAACACCATCCTGTTTCCTATTGTGCATTAACATTCGGAAGTGACTCATTCCAGACTAAAGCTATAAGAACTTCCACTATATATGGAGTGGGCAGCGGGGAAGTATAATATGGATTTCTTTGGAGGGTATATTGAGCCTCAAATTTGAGGAAAGGAAAAATGCAAAGGTAAGGTTGCAACCCTATGCATACTTTCTTGGCACTGTGCCCCACAGAACACGTGGAAGCAGACTTCCCTGCCTCCTCCTCCTCACCACTGCAGCCCCTCCAGTCCCCTGAAAATGCTGCACCATGGACGGGGGATTGCTGCTGGGAGGGGCAGGCTGTGGTGCTGGGAAGTAAGGGGTAGACTCCCTGAAAATTGGGTGGAGGCATTGTTCATGATTTGGGGGGCAGGTTCCCCAACAGTATTAAATAGCATTGGATGTAAAGACCTTTCATGCCCACATTGGTATTATGCAGTAAGTCACTGGCCTGACCCTGTTATCCCTTCCTCCTCTGTTCTGCTTCTTACAAGTAAGGAGCAACAGGGTGGCATGTAACATTTTAATTTCCATGTGTTGTACTTACAGAGGGAGAGTGCTATTATCTTCAGAGAATCCCTAAAGTATTCCCATGCTGTTTTTCATGGTTGTAGTCCATGGTTCAAACGGCCTGTGTTTAAAAACCATTAAACACAGCCACCCTGGGGCTGTTATGCCATGTGGTAGGTTGTAAATAAATATATAGCTCAGTGGAATAGCTTGTGGCCATAACTGGTCAAGGTAAAAAATGTCTGTGACATGAGACATACAGAGGCAACAGATTAGCAGTTTTAAGCCATAAAACGTTAAGCTCAAACTGAGTGAATTCTGTCAGGCATATTTGGGGAAGCTATGGGTGATAGTTTATGCTGAGAGCCTCCCACACAGTTAATCCAAAATTAAAATACCCCTGTAGAAAGAAATTGCAGTCCATTTTCTGAACTGTGTTTAAATACGCTTTAACTGTGCAGTGCTGTACACCAGGAGTTACTCCATTCCTTGGCTATGCTGGTGCAACGTTTACCAAATCCTATACCTGCCCAACCCAGAAGGGGGAGCACAACTCTAAAATATGCACACCTGAGGCAAATTGGCAGATTCCTGCTCAGTATCCATTATGGCAAAAACAGCAGTGCTGGCAAGCAAAGACTGGAATGGCAACAACACCTCCATGCTGTTCAGACATAGAAGAACCAAATCTGTGCAGGCTGATGCAGAGGCACATGCCCCGAATGCAGGTGGAAGATGATGTTCGACACAGAGCCCCAGCCAACAGAGTCTTGCGGCACAGCCGGAATAGCATTCACACAGGCACAGAGAAACACCTCGGGCATCTCTTTCCTCCTCTTCCCGTTCCTTTCCCACACAGATGGCTGGAAAGGCTATCACAGCAGCCCCTCAAAAGAAGCAAGGCTGTGCATGGCTCAAGCAGCTGGAAGCCTTGCTAGGTGCTGCACATCATCATCCCTGTCCACCCTCGGACTGCGTTTTCGCTGGGAACATCCAAAACAGGAGTGGGCAGGAGGCAAAGCAGTGGCTGGAGCAGCAGCCCACCTCACAACCGCCACGCCAGCCACACGAACAGTGGCAGTGATACCCCTCCTGGAATGAGATGAGGGTGCTGACAGTTAAGTTAGTCCCTCTTCCCTGGGCAGCATGAGATTTGCAAAGGCACCATGTTAGGCTTCTGTTGGAGGGGTTTCAGTGGAGGTGCCTGGCATTATCATAAGACCCTTGGATTGTCCTGCAAGTCTTTACATTGGAGTGCTGACAGCTCCAAATGCAACATGCAGCTAATTCCACTGTCCCTTATGAAGTCTCCAAAAAGAGACTTTCTGTTCCCCGATTGCTTCCTCAACATGCAGAATCCTGAACTCCACTGTCCCTCTGTGGCCCTTCCAGGGAATGCTGTGTTTATTTCCAGTAGGCTTCTATTGCTTCTCCCCGCAAGTGCACCCGTACCTCATTTCCCTCAATTCCTCCCCCTTAGGCTGGACAGGCAGAATTGCTCCCCTTCCTGGGCTCAGCATGTTCTGGCTTAGCTAACTTGCCCAGCCCATCACTCGTGTTATCACTTGCTCCTCCTTTCTCTGGATCCAGGGGCATGCAAGGCTGTTTACCCTCATTCCAGGCTATGAGGGAAGGTGCAAGCAACTTGTTCCCACTATTACCTAAAGCAACGCAGGGAGAACAGCAACTTCCCTTTGCTTCTCTCAGAAGAGTAAGGGCTGGAAGTTTTCTGCAAGTTGGCCTTGGAAAGAAAGGATGCGATGTTTGCCAAATGTGGGAAGGTCCTGGCCACTGACAGGAAGGTGGCCCCCTTCAAAGACCTCACACATCTCTTAGCCATTCTGATACTGCCCATTGGGCTGGTGGTCTTCCCAATGAAAGGGTAGTATGGATGGACCTGGCCTTCTATCCAGGCTCTCATCCTCATAACATAGCCACAGCTGGGCAACAATAGAGGGCTGATCCATGTTGGCCTCCCATTACAGAGAGTGTGTGGGTGCGCTGGTCACATTCACCTTACCCACCCCCTTCCCACTTCAGTCCTGTCGGGCCACTGCACAGAGATTCCAAGAGGACAGTATAAAAGGAGATAAAGATTGTGAGGAGAGATCCTGGGGAGACTCTGAGGAGAGAGATTGCAAAGAAAGGTTCCGATGAAACTGAAGGGGCAGATGCAGAGGAAGGAAGAACAGTCCTGAGGAGGCTGAGGGGGAAAACGGGAAAGAGCAGTCTTCTGCCTTTCAATCAGTTATCTGTCAGCAACAGCCCAACAACCTGCTGCTGGTAGCAGAAGCCCAGTACAGCTGCTGCAATCTTAGGCTGCGTTGCTTCAGGCCAGCCTTAAAAAAAACCCTATATTTGTGGACCCTTTTTCTATTGGACTCCATTTTATGGTTTCAAGGCTTACTTTGCATCATTTATTCATCTGAATGTTTGTTTTGCTTCCTCCCTCTTTCCTGCTTTCCTGGTTAAAGAAATCATAGAACTTGCTTTTCATATCTAACTTGCACACTGTTTTTCTCCCTGTCCCCTTTCAGGGAACAGATGGGCTGGTGGACTGGAGGCACTACACACTAGTTTGGGGTCAACATCTTTTTCCCTCAACCACTGCTGTATGAACTCAGGTCTCATGGTTTCCATAAGAGGGTTGCTAGAAGGGAAATGTTACAACATTATATTTGATATTTCCGTTTCCCCTGTCCGCCCTGTCATCTATCAGCCACTCCCTAGCTTTTTATTTCCTCTTTAATATGTGATTGACGAGTGTTCAACCATATTCCATGCCTGTATTTTCTTTATTCAGCCTGTGCTTTGCTTGTGACTTTACTTGGACAATCCAGGATTTTTGGCTTTCGGGGGGTGGGGAGCAAGAATGGCGGTGGGTGCTGCTTGTCCCTGGAAGGGCGAGAGCAGCAATGGTGGAGCACTTTAGGTGTGCAGAGCATAAGACTAGAGGTGTGTAGCCCATGCGGTGTGCCTTTTGATCTGAGTTATGAGTTCCATGTCTGGGGTTTAGATACAAGTGCTTGTTTGGGCACTGGATTTCACCATAGCTGATACTCGGTTGTGATGTGAGCGGGGCAGCTGGCAGTACAGAGTCAGTGATTTGTGGTTTGTCTTCCTCCCTTTGTTGAATTCTGTTGTTGTTAGTCGCAAAGTCGTGTCCGACCCATCCCGACCCCATGGACAACATTCCTCCAGGCCTTCCTGTCTTCCACCATCCCCTGGAGTCCACCTAAGCTCACACCAACTGCCTCAGTGACTCCATCCAGCCACCTCATCCTCTGCCGTCCCTTTCTTCTTTTGCCATCTATTGTTCCCAGTTGAATTCTGTTGGAGAGAATTTCCTTGAACCAGCTCCATGGGTGTCACAGTCGAGGTCAGAAGGAGCATAGGTGTTACCCCTCCCAATCTCTGCTCTGTTTCAGATACTTATTTATTTCCGATATCGCCCAACAGCCAAAGCTCCCTGGGCAATTCACAACAGCTGATGGGAGATCATGCCGCTGGTGGAAAGGTTATTTCAAATGTGCTGCCCCCATGCAGCCAACAAGTTCTGTCTCTGTATCTTTTGTGGAGGTAGTGGATTTTGTGTTCCTCAGGAGAGCATCTGCCGTATTTTGCAGCATTGCAACCAAGTGTAAAGAATAAGGTTGCCCCCTTAGGATGTCTAAATGTTGGAGCAGCTCTTTCAGGTTTAAGGTTAGGTATGTTTTGGATTTGATGGTTTTTAACTAAGACACAATAAAGGCTGAGAATCAATATGCAAAGGAAAGCTCTAAATGTAAATCAAGAGCACAGTGAAAGAAGATGATAGGCAGGAATATGTACACCCAAGAATGGGGCCAAGGTTGTATGTGATAGAAATTCATGAGTTTTATCTCTGCAATGGCCATTTCCCAAGAACAAGTTAAGAATGATTGCCCTTCAAAGATGGTTCAATTTGTTCCCCTCCTCACTTTGCCTCACATTTAAATACAGAGACTGCTATAGTAACTTCAGGCTTTACCTAATATAAGTTCACGCTTTGGTGTCTATTGTCACGTTCCCAATATGATAGCAGAAATTCTGTCTGCTGTCCTCATCTCAGGCACAGCAGAAGGACATGACTTTGGAACAGACTGACAACACACAAATGGATTGAAGTCTCCTATTCCACACCACACTTCTGTCAAGGGCTAGATTTTTTAACAAGAAGTTGATTCCACCTGAATACAACAGCAATCAATCTCCCTCAATTAGAAGCTACTGCTTTAAAAAAAATGCTTCAGACACTCACTTATGACAGCAAAGTAGTTAAAAGTGCAAGCATTTTCCTCTGTTCCAAAAAGCATTTAATGCAAGGAGCGGTGAATGGTGATCTGACTTGCTAGCAATTATGACTGCAAGAATTAGATAAATGTAGAGTTATAAAACTCTCCTATAAACATTGTGATACTAAAATGAAATTCAATTTTATCACTCTGAACATATGAACAAAAGGATACATATAGTGTGTCTGTAAACCAATTCATATTAAATAGTTTTCAGAATGCTTTTGAACTGGTGAATGATGCTTCTAATTCATGTTAGTTGAGTGGCAATGACCTGGTTTGTACAGGACAAGTTATGGGTTCTTTCAACCATGATGAGCTGTTGCATATCCAACCTCCATTCAGGAGTTTCCATGTCATGCAAACTGACAAGTGTGGGCTGAGCAGCCTTCGCAGAACCCATGGTCTGTCCTAACCCACACTCATTGCATTTGCACAGAGTGACAACACCCAGAGATAAGATATGCAAAATGGTGGCTTCATACACCATAGCCTCACCTGTTGTGTGAACTGGCCCAATATCAAGGCACTGTCAGTATTCCAGATTAATTTATATGGCTCTTTCTAGATGAGTCTTTTACTGCGTCATTGCCCCATCCAGTTTACAAAATTTTGTGAGGAGTGTGTTCTAGATGCCTTCATCTTAACACTCATAACCCTCCCATGTTTTCCTACTGCTTCTGTCTTCCCTCTTACTACAGAAATTGCATTAAGGATAAACAGCTGGAATAGCTGTGCAATGCTTTTTTTCCTTAGCAGCAATGGGAGCCCTCTGTCTAGAAACGCCCTGAGAGTATGAGTTTGTGAGTGCTTCTTTGGAAGTCTGCATTGTGAGAAGAGGCAGTGCTTGCAGTACAAAAGTGTGAAATGCTAACACACTTCCTTTACTTGAACAGGAGGCTTCCTTGTTTCGTCCCTTGAACAGCCAAACAACTGCATAACAGCTGAAAATCTTTGTGTGGCTGACCCTGCCTGCAATGCCGCTTATCAGACCCTGCAAAACTGTTCTCCATCCCTTGCTAAGAGCAATTCCTTCCTTCTGCACCATGAGGCCAGAAACAGATGCCAAGAGGCAGAAACAATGATTAGAAACAGTTATTTTGGAGAATGCAAGTGCCACCGACGCAGCCGAAAGCAGAAGCGATGCCTACATATCTACTGGACTGTTCATTCCACTTTAGCACAAGGTGAGATTTGTCACTCTTGATGCCACCAAATCTGGTGGGGGGGGGCAGCAGGGGCTGCATGGAGCCTCTGGGCAGTATGGTAGCTGCCCCTGCTCTGAAGAAACACTGACTAGGTTCAGGCAACTTGACAACCCCCACCCAAGATTGGTATGGGTAGTTGCTCAGCTTTGTGCTGAGCAACCCTTGTGGTGGATGTGAAAGAACCAGCAGGGAAGGAAGGAAACAGGGCAGGAGGTGTCTCTTCCCATTGCCTGCCTCACTCCCCTCTTCCTTTCAAAGAGAAGCTATGTAGGGCAAGCTGCAGCAACGCCACTGCCTGCCTGTGCTGCCTTCCCATGCCCTAGTCAGGACTTGGCAACAGGTACATGCTGGAACAGTAGTGAGTAAGGTGGAGACACCGTCCTACCTTAAGGGGAAGGCCAGCAGTGTACTTCAACTCACCTGTGCCTCTTCTTCCCAGTGGGGAAATGGGGTGAGAGGCTTCCCCTCCTCTTGTCCACTCCATTTCCAAGGAGTCGCTATGCAGGGCGAGTGGTGCTGGTGCCTGCCCCAGTTGGGTGGTGGGAGGAGACATGCAGCAGGCATTGGGTTGGCCGCTGCCCTGCAGTAGACACCAGCTCCATGCCCAGGTCCTGAGGGGTGAGGCACCAGTGGAGGCCACACCATCTGAGGATGGGGGGCGGCAGGCACAGGACCGCTTCCTCTTGCCTCTCCAGTCATTCTTCTCAAGGGACACTGGTGGAAGAGAGGAAAGATGTCTGTCCTCCCACCCTGGTTGTTTTCCATCATGGTGAGGCTTGGTCAACTGGTAGCTGGAGAAGGTCCCTTAACTTTGAAATCCAATTTGTTGTCTCTGTGGAGTATTTATTGTATTTCTTCCTCTGCTTAAGTAGCAATCAAGAGGGAGAAGAAGCAGGCTACCGTTTTTCCTGTCTGTGTCTTGCACCTATGCACAGACATGTTTCAGTAACTCAGGCAGGCTCCAAGAAATGGCATTTGCATCTGTGCAGGCTGCTGGATAGAGCTGTGTGAGGGTTTCTATGCAAACTTGCATTGAGATGAGGAGCTTTGAAAGACACAGGCACTTTCACATGGTTGCCACCTGGCATCCATAATCCCAATGTTTTACTTGTCCCAACTTGTGTACAAAAATGTCTCTACAACCATGACAGTAAGAAATGTGCAGTTGTTTTTCAAAAAAGAAAAATCTGAAATCCTTAAGATTCCAGAGCCCATGCCAAATTCTATGCAATGCCACAAGCATGCAGCCAAAAAGAATGCTAAACAGACCTGCCCAGATGGAGTCATGAAGATTTTTAGCAGGTTTTGAAATGTCAGGAAATGGAGGTGCAGGCCTCTCGCCTAAACATCACACCCTCATATTCTGCGTTTACTGCACTGATCCATAGCTGCAGAAAAGTATGGAAAACCGAGATCTATATTTACATATGTAGACTGATATTATTTCAGATTGTGTGCTTATGACAGATAATAACCAAGATGCTGCACATAGTTTGATGTTAGAACAGTAGATTTAAGAACAATTATGTGTTCTTTGTGTGACAAATAGATTTAAGGAATTAGATCTGATAGACAGTGCCTGAAGAACTATGGACGGAGGTTCGCAACATTGTACAAGAGGTAGCAACTAAAGCCATCCCAAAGAAAAAGAAATGCAAGAAAGCAAAATGGCTGTCTGAGGAAGCTTTACAAATAGCTGAGGAAAGAAGGGAAGTGAAAGGCAAGGGAGAAAGAGAAAGATACACCCAACTGAATGCAGAATTCCAGAGAATAGCTAGAAGAGATAAGAATGCCTTCTTAAATGAACAGTGCAAAGAAATAGAAGCAAACAATAGAATAGGGAGGACCAGAGATCTCTTCAAGGAAATTGGAGATATGAAGGGAAAGTTTCATGCAAAGATGGGCATGATAAAGGACCAAAATGGCAGGGACCTAACAGAGGCAGAATAGGTTAAGAAGAGTTAGCAAGATTACACAGAAGAACTATACAAGAAAGAGCTTAACGTTCCTGATAACCATGATGGGGTGGTCACTGACTTCGAGCCAGGCATCCTGGAATGTGAAGTCAAATGGACCTTAGGAAGACTGAGCAACAACAAAGCTAGTGGAGGTGACAGTATTCCAGCTGAACTATTCAAAATCTTAAAAACCAATGCAGTAAAAGTGCTACATCCAATATGCCAGCAAATTTGGAAAACTCAACAGTGGCCACAGGATTGGAAAAGGTCAGTTTACATTCCAATCCCAAAGAAGGGTAATGCCAAAGAATGTTCAAACTACCGCACCATTGCACTCACTTCACATGCTAGCAAAGTGATGCTCAAAATCCCACAAGCTGGGCTCCAGCAGTATGTGGACCGAGAACTACCAGAAGTACAGGCAGGATTTTGTAGAGGGAGAGGAACTAGAGATCAAATTGCCAACATACGCTGGATCATAGAGAAAGCCAGGGAGTTCCAGAAAAACATCTACTTCTGCTTCATTGACTATGCTAAAGCCTTTGATTGTGTGGATCACAACAAATTGTGGCAAGTTCTTAAAGAGATGGGAGTACCAGACCATCCTATTTGTCTTTTGAAAAACCTATATGCGGGTCAAGAAGCAACAGTGAGAACTGGACACGGAAACACTGATTGGTTCAAAATTGAGAAAGGAGTTCGGCAAGGCTGTATACTGTCGCCCTGCCTATTTAACTTACATGCAGAGCACGTCATGAGAAAGGCGGGGCTAGATGAATTGCAAGTTGGAATTAAGATTGCTGGGAGAAATAACAACCTCAGATATGCAGATGATACCACTCTAATGGCAGAAAGTGAAGAACCTCTTGATGCGGGTGGAGGAGAAGAGTGCAAAAGTTGGCTTGAAACTCAACATTAAGAAAACTAAGATCATGGCATCCGGTCCTCTCACTTCCTGGCAAATAGATGGGGAAGAATGGAGGTAGTGACAGATTTTATTTTCCTGGGCTCCAAGATCACCGCAGACGGGGACTGCAGCCAAGAAATTAAAAGACGCTTGCTCCTGGGGAGGAAAGCTATGGCAAATCTGAACAGCATACTAAAAAGCAGAGACATCACCCTGTCAACAAAAGTGCATACAGTCAAGGCTATGGTTTTCTCATTTGCACTGTATGGCTGTGAAAGCTGGACCACAAGGAAGGCTGAGCGCCAAAGGATTGAGGCCTTTGAATTGTGGTGCTGGAGGAGACTCCTGCGAGTCCCCTTGGACCGCAAAGCGATCAAACTGGTCAGTCCTGGAGGAGATCAACCCTGACTGCTTTTTAGAAGGCCAGATCCTGAAGATGAAACTCAAATACTTTGGCCACCTAATCAGAAGGAAGGACTCCCTGGAGAAGAGCCTAATGCTGGGAACAATAGATGGCAAAAGAAGAAGGGGATGGCAGAGGATGAGGTGGCTAGATGGAGTCACTGAAGCAGTTGGTGTGAGCTTAAGTGGACTCCGGGGGATGGTGGAGGACAGGAAGGAATGTTGTCCATGAGGTCGCGATGGGTCGGACACGACTTCGCGACTAACAACAACAACATGTGGTCTTTGTAAATTATTATCTAAGCATCTCCTTTGTAGCTTCCAGCACCCCCTCCCTAAGATTGAAGAAGACGCTAAGAAGCTTAAGAAAGTCTTTTCAAAGTGGACAGCTATATTACTCCACTTTGCCAAAGTTTCCTGATTGCTTTGCAAACCAGCTAAGCTGTAGTAAAGTTTGCCATAGAAGTGTGCATTCTTGCAAACACTTCAATGACTGGGTTTGGATGACACAATAATGCAACCATGCTAAACCTTGGTGGTTTAATGTGTCATCAAAACCAGGCACTGCCCCTCAGGGTACTTTGTAAGCAACCCTGGGGTGGCTTCTTAAACCACGCCAGTTACCCATAGCTTGTAGGGTTTAAATAACTCATTGTAGCTTAACATGTAGTCTGAATCCAGGCAACATGCTATGCTATGGTCAAGCCAAAATGGAAAAGAGTTGCATGGCTGCCCTGGCCAAGGAGCTTTGAGTGATGACAGCTGACAAAGTGTGGTCATCATCCATTTGCTTTGGGCCTCTGCTGATACAGAAGTGAGAGCAGGATCACTTGAAAACAATCCTGCTCTCCCTCAACATCCCTTCCTGTTTCCTGCCCCGTGTGTCTTCTCCTTTCCAAGGTGGAGGTGTGCAGGACAAGCAACACGGGTGCCTGCCCACGCCACCCTTCCAGATCCAAGTCTTCCCAAATGTGAACTGTCAGCCATTTGCATCCTACTCCCTCTCCCCAGGATACTGCAGGAGAACAAAGGGGGTGAGGGAGAGAACTGTGCCTGTACTGAGCACTTCAGTACTCAAGTAAAATTCCCAGAGTGGGTAACATGTCATATCATTCCTCCCAGTATGAGCTGCAGAGCCCCACTTCTGGAAACCTACCTTTGAGCATACCATAGTTAAGGAAAGCTCAGTTAATGTTCATCTGAGGAGGGATCAGCTACAAGAAGAAAGAAGCTGTCCCTAAACCCCAGTCTGCCTTCTTTCAAGAAGTAGAGTTAGCAAGTGTAGGAAGAGATTTGAGGAGAAGGGAGCCAATGTCAGAGAAATCCTCTCACCATCAGCTGTACAGCACTGAATGAGATACTTTACTGGAATGAAAGAAAGCAGTTAAGGTCTTAAAGTTGACCTCTGACTTGAGCTCTTCAGAACACTTAGATACACACAGCAGACAATAATATATTATTTTATCTTGCACAGATGAGTTTTCTTTGGAGATGTCTCCCTATGAAGATGTAGAAAATGAAGAGTCTTTAACAGCAAAGTATGACAAGCTGGCAACCCAAATCTCAGGTAGAGTTAATGCCGGGGGTGAGGAATGTGTGGCCCTTAGATGTTAGAGTACAGCTCTCAACAGATTTACCCAGCATTCTCAATGGTAAGGGATTATGGGAGATACAGTCTAACATTTGGAGGGCCACATGTTTCCCATCCCTGGTGATACCAAGTTACTGTATATTTGGTGTCTTCCCTTTTCTTTAGGACTTGCCTTTTAGGAGGAATTTTAGTGGTGAGAATATGTTTATTGTAATTAAATGTCTGAGTAGCCTAAACCACACTAATGCTAGAAGGTGAGAAACAAATGTGTGGTATCCCAGAAGGAATGTCTGTGTCAGCATGAGAGGGGGCAGAACAATGCAGTGATCTCCACTGCTCATGCAGAAGGTGAAGGGACCAGATTACTGAATCGAAGGGGCCAACAGAAGGCTCAGTGGCAGCATAGACCTAAGACTTCTTTGCTGCCATCACCACCTCCTAAGATTGCAAATGGATTGTTACTTGTGTTCATTTGTATTTGTTTCACGCTTTCCGCCATTTGTGCTCTAATCGTTGGCACAACCATGTCATTGCCTTCAGCTCTCTGGAATGCCAAGGAACTGATGCAATTCTGTGACTAGATCAGGGATGTCTGGGAACAATCCTATTGGTAGCTCCTTGTTCCCAGTAATGACCAGGACTTTAGCAGACCACCAAGTAATGTGAAAATGATAGATCAAATGGAGTAGTAGGCTACTATCTAGCACAAAGCTAACCCATTTTTAGTGAAAATCTGGCAGCTTTTAGTTACTAGGATCCAATATATGTTCTTACTTTAGCACTAAAATTAAAGCAAGATAGTAGTTACAAAAGTGCGTTGTGAGGCAATGTAGAGATTGTACCCATTATTTCATGCTTACTGTCAGCACTTAGCTTATTGTCAGTGCTGCTAAGAATTAAGAAATACCTTGCCAAACTTGCTTTTTCCAAATACTCTCCCCCCCCCCCGAAAAAAAAGCCAGTTTGGGGGGAAATTATTTCAAATATTCCCTACTATTCTGTTTTTCTTGCTTTTGTTATTTATTAGCTAGCACTATCAGTGCGCTTAGTGTTTTACAGAGTACAAGGAGAAGCCTCTGTCACAAAGAGCTCTGTCCATCTAAAGTTGGATACAAAATAAAGGACAAAGGAAGGGAAAGGAAATGTGAGGGAGGATGAATCTCTGAGTTGTGAAGTGATGCTAGAGATGGCTTGATCTGAGCATAAAAATGTTCTAATAATAATAATAATAGTATGATCCTCCCTTGGAAAACCGTCTCTGGAACTATCTATGTTCTCCTTGTGTTTCTGTGGCTTTGTAGGCGCGCATATGGCTGGAGACAGCGCAAATCCCTGCCTGCAGGCCACAAACATTTGCCACTTGGACCACAGGTGCCTGCGCCTGCGCTCACGCTATGCCAAGATCTGCAGCGCAGGCCACCCCTGCGATCAGCGCAAGTGTCACCAAGGACTGAGGCTCTTTTTTGAGAGGGTCGATTTGGATTTCACCAAGAGGCTTCTTTTCTGCCCTTGTCAAGATGAGGTTTGTGGCGAGCGGCGCTGGAACACCATTGTCCCAGAGTGCTCTTTCCAGAGCGGCAGCAAACCAAACTGCCTCGTCCTGTTGGACGCGTGCCTGAAGGACAATATCTGCAAGTAGGTCTGGCACCGAGGGCCTGGGGATGACTGGTACCGTGAATTTCATGGCCCCTGGGCAGCTGGAGCCTTTTATGTACTTGATGAAGTGAGGGAAGGCGTAAATAAAGCATAACGCTGTGTGGAGGAGTGACTAACCATGTATGTGTGCTGGGCTACACGTCACCTAAATCAGACGTTGTCAACTCCCGCCTGCTTGGGAGCTACTTTATCCTCCGGTTTTCTGTGAGCGGGGATGGTCAGCTCCATAATGAAGTTGGGCACTGCCCAGCAAGAAGGGCTTTGCAGTGACGGAGTGCATGCACTCAGCATGTATATTTGCATGTGTGGTTTTGGTAGGATCACAAGGGCCACAGTTGCCCATTCCCAACATGAATACAATTCTATGATCTTTTCTTTGGCTCTGTGTAAAGAGTGGCTTTGGCTTAGCCTAGTAAATACAGGCAAATGAGTAAAACATATTCTGGAATGAGAAAAGGAGGCCCACATTCTGATAGCAGTTGTCTTCCACCAGATCCCAGCTGGCTGACTTCCAAGAACAGTGCAAGCCTTCAGGAGCGTCCACAGATGGCTGCTCCCAGCACAATCATGCTGCATGCCTGGAGGCTTACATGGGGATGGTTGGTATGTGTTGGACCCGAAGGAACACCCTGGGAGGTTTGATGTGGGTATACCATTAGCCCTGTCTATGGTGGGTAGAGGAAAAGCTGTTAGTCCTTTTAAATAAGCTGTATGGAATAAAGAAAGATAAGGGGGTGTGAGCTACTCTGATTGCAACCTTCAGACATATTGTAAGAAACTTCTTACGGACCAAGTCCCCTTCTAAAGACTTGGTCCATTTACTTCAGGGGTAGGTGATGCCTGGAGGCCAGTCCCCCCCCCCCCCAAAAAAAAATCTGGAACTCACCAGGTGCCGCACTTCTGCCTCCAGAATTTGGCAGTGCAGGAGACAAGCATGCTGCCTCAAGGAAAAATGGGCCCTTCTTGGCTGTCCCATCTCTGATTTCAGTGAGGAATTCAGTGGAGGTGGAAAGGGGTCACAAAAAAGCCCAGGGGACTGCACATGTGCCATAGGCAACATGGTGTTTACCCCGATCTGTGTCCAAGTGTGTAGCAGATTAATATTGTTGCTTTTGTTCTGGTGTTGCAATAGCAGTGTTAGCATTAGTTCCCTGTTTTGGATAATTATTCACCATGATTACCTGCATGTCTCGAGGCAGTGTATCTTTGATTATCAGGTGCCAGGGACCAAAGCAGGATCACTGCCATCACTGGATTATGAGCATCTGGCTAGGTCTAGTGAGAGGATGCTGGCTAAAGGCAACTTTTAGGTACATGAATTAGTTTTCCCTACTGCCTAGATAATGCTGGGAACAATAGATGGCAAAAGAAGAAGGGGACGGCAGAGGATGAGGTGGCTGGATGGCGCCACTGAAGCAGTTGGTGTGGGCTTGGGTGGACTCTGGGGGATGGTGGAGGACAGGAGGGCCTGGAGGAATGTTGTTCATGGGGTCGCAATGGGTCGGACACGACTTCGCGACTAACAGCAACAACAACTGCCTAGATACAGGATTCCCCATGCAGGGGTTACTATTGGCTATACTACCACCATCACACTATCTGGACTGAAATTTATCTGAGGAAAAGGTTACTAAAGACAGCTAAAGGAAAAGCACAAAATTGCTGGTGTTTGTTTCAAAGTAAGTTCACCTATTTTCATAGGCTTACCCCAAACTACTGTGAATAGGATTGTAGCCTTAATTTTGAATGTGTAGAATTTTGCTTCCTTACCAGTTGGTATTACAAACCTAAGTTGTGCCTGGACCTACATTATGTCTGAGGAGAATTCATAAGTGGAATTGTCTGAACATACTGATAAGCTTAGGCACTTTTCTTCCCAGGAATATTCAAGAAGCTTTCAGAGCAAAGCATTTAGTTGCACACTGTCTGCTTATGCATAGAATGAGCTGCATTCTTGAGGCCTGACAAAAGACTTTGCAGAGGCATAGGGATGGAGTTTGGACTGATAGCACAATGTGATGAATGCAGTTATACTTAGATTCTGCACATTCATTCTGTGCAAAACTACTTGTGAACAAATAAATAACTAATTATATTTATTTAAAATTAAGCATGTGTATGCAACTTATACTGCTTCTGGTACTCAGGTTTTCAAATCATTATGAATATTTTAACATGTGATTCACTGAAAAAGAATTCAAGGAAGGCTTTTCATGGTGTTCTTGATTAAACATGAGAAATAGAAGCATACACTTTGCTAAGTTTTAAAAGAAGATTGAGATTGCCAGGATGCCATCTCGCGGATTCAGGCATTGTTCTGTCTCTAGTCAGCATGGATTTGTCAGAACTCTGTGTACACACATTCCTGACTTTGCCTTCTTGGAACTCGACACAGGTACCCCCATGACGCCCAATTACGTCAGTAATTCCAGTGCTGAGGTCACGCTGTGGTGCACCTGCAAGAACAGCGGCAACCGGGAAGAGGACTGTGAACGAATCCTCAGCGCCTTTGCCAGCAACAGATGCCTCAGTGAGTGCAGAGGGCCCCCTCGGTCCATCTGTCATTGTGCCTGGGCTGATGGGAATTGCAGTTCAAAGCCTTTAGAGGGTTGGCGAAAGCAGATCTAGCCCTTTCTTCTCCCTCGGCCATAACGCTAGAACTTTGTTGTTTCGTGAAACTGATTGGTGTTACTGTCAACACAGACAGCAGGAAGACTTTCTCTGCACCATGTGTAACTATCTTATAAAATACATTGCTGGACCTTTTTTTGGTTTTTTGCTTCACTAACTGCATCTACTAAACTTTATGTGCTACATCTTTTCTCCAGGAAGGTCAGCACAGCTTCTGATTATGGGTTTTTCAGAGTAACAGAGAAACTTGTAGAGGGCAAATCTGTCATGGAATCTACAGGTTTACAAGTCTGTTTACCAAACGTTAGAGGAACAAACAAAAGAAGCATTTAGCCGTTGCCTTCTTGCCCTGCTTTTATGTGTTCCAGAGACATGTAGCTGGCCTCTTTAAGAAACATAATGCTGTACTAGGTGGACCTTTTATTAGGCAACATTGGGTTGTTCATTATGTTTTTATGTTATTAATTTATGTCTTCAGCATTCATAGCTTTAATTGTTCTAACTGGTCCAACACAGTAGAGCTTCTCTACTGTTTCTAGGTGACATCAAATCAAGAACCAAACTTCCTGATTTAAATGTTCAGTATTTCACCTTTTCATTTCCTCAGTTTTATTTATGGAGAAGTTTTTCATGCCTCTGCAGTTAAGATTTAATTACTGCTATGACTAAACATGCTTCTTCTCTTTGGAAAGGAGAGTGTATAGTCTGAGATTAGGTAACCAAACAGTCTCTTCCCTTGCGGCTTTCCTTGGCCTTGCACACTTTTTGCCAGCCTCTGTTGCACATTCTGCCACTGCATGGGAAAAAATCCTGCTTGAGTAAATCCTGACGTCCAAAACATGAACTGAAATAGGATGCTACTACCTTGTTTCTCTCCAGTGAATTAATTGCCAATATGTTCCAGCAACAGAGCACTTCACAAAGATCAAACACACTGTAGATGTTTGCACAGCCATAGCAGGGCGGAAAAGGTTTGCTGGTCTCTTGTCAGAGCATTGTCAAGGACTGGTGCTGGAATGGCTTAAATTTATTTATCTAGTCAAGCACAGTTGCAGCCCAGAGCACTCTCTCCATGGCCCATGCCTGCTTGTGCAGGCTCAAATCCTGACACAGTCTCTTCTCTGCATTGCAGAAAGTGCAATCCAGTCACAGATGAGCCTACAGCAGATGCCTACAGAGGGTCGGGAGCAACTGCGGTACTCTTCTTCTGTGAACATCCAAGGAGATGGCACCAGCACAGTTCTCACTGCAAAAGTGTATTGGGTATGAACAGCCCTGCCAGTTCAGGGCCTAGGCAGAAGGAGGTTGTCGTTTAAAATATGGTTTGCATAACAAGGTTGTCAGCTAAGTCTCTAGTATTGTGAGAAAAGGTTGGGCAAGGAGTCTGTCACCTTTGAACCCCCTCCTTTGAGGAGGAGGGGCTGAGCTGGGGTAGGTATTAAAATTAGGTTTATCTGATAATTAAGTAACCTCCCCCCCCTCTGTGTGTGTGTCTAGGAACCTGAAGAGAAGATACAGCCAGAAGTTCCTGTACATAATCAAAAATCGTTCTCAAATTCTGTATATACTGGAGCTCAGCTTTCCTCGCTTTTGACCTTGACGCTGCTCCTTCTATTACTCAGTCCACCGTAGCCTAATGTGACTGGCATTGCTCATGCATGTGACTGTCATGCATTTCCAGGAGAAAGGAAACTGGATTTTTTCATGCTAAAGAGGACACACCGATCACTGCAAGCCTCTTCACAACCTGCACCCTTCTGCCAAGAACTCTTGACTGTTTCACACACTTTTCTATGCAATGTAGCCCTGGGGACTGGTTCTCTTTCCAGTGCCCCCAAAGGGGAAAAAGCAGGCAGATGTGAGATTTTAGGGAACTGTTTTAAAAAACTGAAATCAAAGCAATCAGGTAGAGGAGTCTGATGCATCTCTGATCTAGCAAGTGAAATGCTTTTTTGGCTTCGGGTTGCCACAAAATCTGGATGATATACTTTCCAGTGGTCCCTGCTGTATATTTGTCCAGTTCTTTAACACACAAAACAAAACTGAAGTTAAGGACCATGGTAACTGAACTGTAGCCTCTGTGCTTGGTCTCTTTCTGTCCCACATTTCTGCATCTGTTACTGCTCCTCAGAAATGTAAAGCACTTGAGCTAGATGCTTCTGTGACATAAATCTTCCTTGTTCAGTATTGTATGACCCTTCTAGGCCTTCAGAAGAATCAGCCTGCAGGCTTGCTGGGCACTACAAATGCCTGGGCCACTGACCTTGTATGCCCCAAGTCACAGCACAACGACCTCTGTATGGAATAATCTAGTGTCCTTTCACATGTCTCTGTACATTCTGTGGTGTCGATGAGCTAATAACTCTGGATGTAAAGGTTTGTGTGGTAACTGAGGTACAGGCAGAGATGTGAAGACCTAGGGGGAAATTAAGGCTTGCGGGGGAAATTCTGAAGGGGAAAAATGTTTCCAAATTCTCCAAAAATCCTTCGGGAAATGTTTTTCCTGAATTTTTCTGGTTCATCTCTCCCCTTTGGTCTGTGGGTTCCCTCCCTTCCTCCACCCACCCACCCACCCACACAGACACATTTACATCTCTAGGTATGGAAGAGCAATTCAAACCCGCTACATGTCACACCTACCTTGTTGGCTGGCTTTGGAAGGGATAGAACACTAATCCCAATAACTTTCCTGTGAAAGAGCCACCAAACACCCTGTTTCTTCCCCATTCTCCCTCAGAGATGCAGTGCGGTGGTTGCCAGAGTTGACTGTCATGTATTCATGATCCAGGGCTCTATCACATTCAGTAGTGACAGTAATCCCTTTATGAAATCTAGCATGCTTTGCATTTTTTTCATCTAGGAATAGGTGTCCTTTTACTCCTGCTCAGTGAAGGGGAGCTTCATACCACCAACTGGCACACTGGTCTCATTTCTATGTGGGTTTACTGTAGCCTTGGTATCAGCCAGGAAGATACAGTTTGTGGAGACCTGCCAATCCATTCTGTTTATTATTATTCCACCTCCTTAATGAAGGCAATTATAAAGTAATTTACTTCCAACCTTTAAATGTCTGTAGTTGTTGTGACTATATGAGTAAGTGTGGAAGCATGGCTTCTTAAAAAACAGAAGACAAGGAATATTAAAAGCATTTCAAATATTAAAGGAATTTTTTACAGTTGAACTTGGCAATACAATACCAGCACAGGTTATGTATTAGCTCCTGGCATTTAAAGTGTTGTGGGAATCCAGACTTTTTTGAAGAGGCCTAAAATCTAGTAGCGTAAATACTTTTCTTAACGAGAAATGTTACCCCCAGTAGGGTAGGCAAGTCCAGAATGGAAAAACTATGAAAAGTCCTAAACTTAAATTCTGTCACTATGTAGATTGTCAAAACATTTTTTGCTTACTTTCTTCACTCTTGATTTTCATCATGGCTCAGTTTTCAAATCAGGCCTTTTATATACCCTTTTTATGCAACCACTGCACTCAAAGTAGATTCACAGCAGATATATAAAACAACACAGCAACTAAATCAGATTACAAAATTAAAATTCAACAGTTGTAATGAATGCACATAGACAGTTACTAAGATTTCAAGGGCATCCTCGGTTTCATGGCAGGGGCAGCACCCATGTATGGAAGGGGAGGCCTTATAGTTTGTTCCCTCTGCCCTTCCCCAGTTCGGCTAGATAGGAGTCTCCTTAAATCCACGCACACTTCTGCACCCGCATCTATGCCTATCTGTCTCACCTCAATACAAATGACTTGTGTTGCTGTAGCACAGGTTCCTTGCACAAAGCTGGAGAGGGGACATTGGATGCAGCTAGAGAGACATGCACACGTTACTCCAGTGGCCTCTTGCATTGCATGTTTACCTACGCAGGTAGGGAAAAACGGTTTTCCTTGCATGTGCAGCAGGCTGGAGCTAGTCCCAAACTGTCTCTGTTCCTAGCCTATTCCACTGGGGGTTGCCTTTCTGATAGCTGGGATCTTCTGTACCTGAAGTGTTGAGTCTCTGTTGATGTTTCAGTGTTTGTGGCACTATTTTATAGTACTTACATGGTTATTACTGTTGTATTTCATCTATATTGAGTACGTCAGCAACTCCCACACCTCTATTCAAAAGGGAAAGTGCAAACCAAATAGAAATCCTTAAAATGTTATCAAGTGTCTTCGATGCACAATCTAAGTCTCTTAGCAAACAGAGGAAGTGGGAACATTCCGAGCGGCTGTAATGTAAATTCCAGTATCTTACCAATGTGATTCAGCCCATAATATCCAAAATAAAGTTTATGTTATAACTCTGGGAGTCTCTTTTCTTTGCATTCAGCAAGAGGTGCACTGACTTTCAAATTCCACCCAGTGATTATGACAATGTGAGAATGGAACAAAGGGAGAAAGATTGGTCTTGCTCTCTCCTGGCAGCCTACTTTACTAGAATTCAGTTGTGCTTGAACAGTCCTTCACCTGCGCTGATTGCTGTGACTGCACTGCTGAGGGATCAGACAGTAACTTGCCGTAGTCCATGTAGTAAATGGAATGCTGTTCTTGCAATGCAAGAATTAGCATTAGGCTAAAGTGGAACTACATATTCTAGGCTTTGTTACGCCAATATTTCTGCAAAATAGAATCATTGCCTTGAAGGCACATAGTACAGTATCTGCTGTGTTTACAATGCAGACAAGCGTCACAACTGCAGTTGCAAGAAAAGTAGTAGTTTTTTTTCTTAACTGATGATAGCATGCAGACTTTGATGGTGCGCAGCAACAGAAGTTTTAAAAGGACTTGTGCAATAATTCAGATTCTCCGCAGTGAATTCCATGGTTCATGTGCCATGTGAAGAAGTACTTCCACCAATCAGCTTCATGGGATGACCTCAAGTACTGTTGTTATGGAAGAGGGAGAAAAACACCCGTCTCAACTTTCTCAATACCTTGCATAATTTCAAATACTTCTATCAGGCCTCCCCTTACCCTTTTTCTAAGCTAAAAAAAATCCCAGCTGATGTAATTATTCCCCACTGAGGAGTTGCTCCAACCCTTTCATCATTTCAGTGCCATTGTCTGCAATTTCCAAACTCAGCAATGTCCTTTTTCGGGTGCAGCAACCTGAACTGTATACAATATTCTAAGTGCAGTCACCCCAAAGATTTGTACAAGGGGAGTATGATCTCAGCAGTTTTATTTTCTATTCCATTCCTAATTATGCCTAATGGCATTTGCCTTTTTCACAGCAGCTGCATGCTAGGTTGAGATTTTCATTGAGCCGGCCATTGCATCCGCAGGATCCTTTTCTTGACCAATCACTGTTAGCTCAGGACCCATCAACCTATACTTGAAATTGGGATCTTTTTGCCCCAACACGCGTTACTTTACACTGAACTGCATCTGCATTTGGTGCTCATTCTCCCATCTTGGAGAATTCCCTTTGGAAGCTCCTCACAGTCCCTTCTGGTTTTAACAGTTCCAAATATTTTGGTGTCATCAGCAAACTTAGCCAGTTCACTGCTCACTTCTAATTCCAGATCATTTCTGAATAGATTGAAAAACTGTGGCTCTAGTACCAGTGCCCTGTAGGACACCACTGGCAACATCCCTTCATTAGGGGAAATTGGCATATTTATTCCCACTCTCTTCTGTTCTTTAAGCATTTGCTGATCTTTAAGAGGATGCGCACACACACATTCTGTGACTGCTATGCTGGCTCAGGAGCCTTTAGTGGGGGACTTTGTCAAAAGCCTTTTGTAAATCCAAGTAAATGGTGCCTACTAGATTGCCCCGTCCATATTCTTATTGATGTGTTCATAGAAATCATAGGTGAGTGAGACAAGATTTACCTTTGCAAAAGCCGTGAGGATCCTTTTCCAGCAGGGTTTGTCACTCTCTGCATTACTATGGACTTTCAACTAACTTATCCAGAACAGACGTTAAGCTAATGGACCTGTAACTTCCCAGATCCACCCTGGATCCCATTTTAAAAATTGGTGTTAGATTGGCCATTCTCCAGTCTGTTCTGAAGGACATATTAGATATTGTGGTAATAACATTTCATATTCAATTTCATATTTGAGTTTTTAAAGAATTCTGTGAGAGATACTATCTGGGCCCAGTGATCTGTTAACTTTTAGTTAGTGAAGTTGAGAATTTCATCATTTGTCACTACTATTTCCAAATACCCTTCCTGAATACACAAACCTCATGGATGAGTGGGAACTAGAATCCAGCGCTCCCAAGTCCCGATCTAATGCTCTAACCTCTACACCACACTGGCTTATGTGCATTCTATGCCCTGAACAAGGTGGTCTCCACTACCACTGCATCTCATGGCCCGATCTTTATCAGCTGCACATGAAGCTACATCTGAAAAGTATTTGGGAAATGCAATTGGTCAGAATCCAATAATGAGATTGCTTACTGAAACCCACTGGACTCAGCCTATTTTACTGATGGTAAAAGATGTTCATTTCCAGTTTCTTTGGAGATGCAACTGGATGAGTTAGTTTTATCTTACAAAGCCCTAAACAGCCATGGACCAAGAGCTCTGGAAGGCCATCTTCTTTCTTATAAACTTGCATGTTCTTTAAGGACAATACTAGAGTCTCTGCTTTTACTTTTGTCTGAGGTTAAGGGTTTACCAAGCACCAACTCAGTTATCAAATGTGAGAGAGGGAATAAAGAAGAGGGGGGTTACTAAAGGAGAGGGAACTACAAGCCCAAACTTTTTTTTCCACAATGCCTAATTTATTTCCCTTACTTCTGTATGAGTCAGTGGAGCTGTTAAGCTAACCAGAATGAATTATACATAGCTTTCAGTGTCTTTGTTTTTATTCTTAAACATACATACTCATTATGTTAGGATAGATCAAAGCAACTGTTTAGGGCTTTGGGTACATCAGGACATTTGAGAAACTAACTGGAGCACCAACACAAAATGGCTGTTCTGAGAGTCATGGTAAAGGACAAGTGACTTGGCAAAAGACTCAATCCAACATGAAGGTGGGGTCTGAACTCCACAACATCAAACTGTAAACATTTACTCTGAAGCCACAGTTTTCCACACCAGCAGAAACCTTTTTCTCAACAATCCCAGTCAAGGGTTAGAAAACAGGGATGGGTTGCAGTGGGGGAGCAGGGCACCTTGGTGAGCACCGACACGTGTGTCTGGGGGCACATTGGTGCCCATGAACACTATGTTGCCTAAGCATACCTTAAAAGCTGACGAAAATACATTGGTACTTATTCCTATTTCAAAACTTTTTCCATGCAGACGGAATGCAAGCATGGAAGTTTCTCCTTATAGACACCCACTTAATTCATACCAAAACCAAACACTCAACTTGCAACATTGCTGGTCAAATTGCTGAGGGCGTATTTTAGCTTTCCCAGAGGACAACCGGAAGCCTAGCAAAAGTCTGTAAAACCAGTTTGGCAGAAAGTGGAGATGGTACACCCAAAATGAATGTGTGCAGTAGAGGTCAGTGACAAAACGGTCTGGCTGCCAAGTTGGAAAAGCCATTGTCTGTTGCACTTCACATATTACTCTATGCAAACAAGATGCTTTACAGGTGTATTTTAAACACTCGTATTTCAAAAACACTCCAAAACAAGTATTTGACTGCTTCCTTGATGGTAATTTATTACTATTAAATAATAATTTATCACTATTAAATAATTGATTAAGAATGGCTGCCGAAGGTTTTACTCAAAAGTTGGGATATTAATATGTGCATGAGCATATTTACAAAACCTAATACAAACCTATTTGCGAATACAGGTTTCCTAATGCAAGATCACTCACCCACGAGCCACTTTAGGCACACGATGGCTTGCTGGTGAGCAATGTGTAACTTCACCATCCATGTCCGGGAATACTTTGAAGGTCAGAAGCAAAAACTTTATCTTCGAGTACCTTGATTCACAAAAGAGAAGTCTGTCAGTGACAAGCAGGTCATAGGGTCTAAACCTCTTCCGGAAGCTTTAAACAAATATATTATCCCACTTTGTTTTCTTAATGCTCCTTTTAAAAGTATGCTTTATCAATAACAGCCAGAGATGAGACTTTGGACTGAGTAGGTGACCTCTTAATCTATAAGCAATTATAGAGTGACTTGCTGACTTCCCAAAGCAGTTTTATTATGAAATGTGAAAGCCCTCAATAATTTAAACCCACCTACTCTGCAGCAGTTTTCTTACAATGCAAACCTATAAATCTCTACTCAGAAGTAAGTCCAAATTGCAAACTTAAGGGAATAGAGCTAGTATTTTATGCATATGAACCCATTTTTAAATTAGGTATTTTGAAATAATTTGTCTAAATCTGCATATCCCAAGCTGGCACCCTCCAGATGTGCCAGACTACCACTCCTATATGCTCTGAACCTTCCATGCTGGCTGGAGAATTATGGGAATTGTAGTCCCCCACATCTCATACCTGAAGGATTCCAGCCAGAGAAGGTTGGCCTAAGTGGATGTAAGGAAGTTCTCCATAACTGACAATGGAGAGTTGCCAGGCTTAGTCTGAGTTCTCCTCTTGCTTCCCACAGGTGGGTGTCCCACCTGGGGTCTGAAGCAGATGTTAGAGTAACAACGACAGCTTTTCAGATATTGATCTTGATCAGCTGATACTGAAGTGGCAGTTGCCTTCATATTGATAATTTCTTTTGCATCGTTTTATAAAGCACACATGCATTACAGGAAATTCTGGCTGTGTGAAGTGGATCTTACAGAATTATTCAATAGGGTCCTGGGTTCAGATAGTATGATAACACACACTGAAGGATTGAGGAGGGGTTGTTGTTAAACTGACATTTGTAACGAGCTAACAACCCACAGTTCACAGCCAACAACAAACCTTCATGAGTCCATAATTAACAAGCTGACTCAGAGAATAGGACAACCCAAGGTTCAGCAACAATCCACAATTCAACAACAGCCTGCACACAGCCCCATGTTCAACCCCTGAGTACAGGTCATCAAGTTGTCTGAACCCAACCAGTGTGTAGCTGGGCTTCAGGAGGTCAACCAAGGCAACATGTGGTCACTCTTTCCCTATAACTCTGTCCAGGGAAATAGGTCCATGGAAGGGGCCGCTGCCCCAGGAATGCGGAAGCTTAACTTTTGCTCTGGTAAAGAAGAGTCGGTTGAGGGAGGGCTTGGTCTAATCCCCAAGGGAGATGCGCCTCCTTCACAATCCCCTCCCTTTTGAGGGGTGGATGTGAATGTGCACACACACATGCATGTGTGAGCCAGCCCTGGGGTCAAGAGAGGTTCCTCTTCACTGGGCCCTCTCCCCAGTGCCCATGAGC